CTCCTGCGCTGTCCCTCCACCCTACCAAGCATGTTGTCCCTCTCCAAGGACCGGTCTCTCCTTATAACATGTCCGAAGTATGTTAGATGAAGCCACAGAATCCTTACCCCCAAGGAGCTGTCCGGTTTAACCCTTTCCAGGATGAGTCTGTTTGTTTTCCTAGGAGTTCATGGTACATTCAATACTCTTCTCCAGCACCACAGCTCAAAGGCATCAATTCTCCTTCTATCCTCCTTGGTCATTGTCCAACTCTCAGATGCATAACAAGTGATCACAAAGACCATGGCCTGTATCAGACGCACCTTAGTCTCCAGAGAGACACCATTGCTCTTCAGTATTTTGGGGAGGTCCTTAACATCAGACTTTCCCATGGCAATATGCCTTTTAATTTCCTGGCTACTGGTGCCAAGAGTGTTTACTGTGGAGCCAAGCAAACTAAAGCTGTGAACAATCTCAATCTCTTCACCACCCATCCTGACACTGCCTTCTTGACATTGAGCCTCAATTTAGATAAAGAAAAATAATTGCTAGAAAACCAGGGGATGGGCTGAGGTGTTAGCTTCAACGTTGGCTTTTCTATCCATTACATTAGCCCCTGCTGGTCTCCAGCTACAGTAAGTGCAGAAACATGGTCGTGCAAATCATCAACAGCTGTAGAACTAGGATAAGAAAGAAAGAGAGAGAGAGTGAGCTTTCTACACTCCATACCAAGACTTAGGGGAGACTGGAGCAAGTTCCCTAGTGAGAGTGAGACCAGAGTGTGATCTTGGAAAGTGTGTGAGCCTGGTGAGTATAAGACCCTGGTGAGAGCAAGACCCTTGTGGTGAGACCTGGTGATGTGGTAGAGAGACTGTGGCACTGCTGTGGACAAACTGTGGCAAAGGTAACGAGGGGAGCCCCAAGACAAAGACCAAAATTAAAAGTTTGTGGTTCTTGCTGGACGATGGAAAGGAAAGCTGACTGGTGAACTGAAACCAGAGCAAGGACTAATTGGGGAATTGTGCCTTGGAACTGCTGGGCTAAAATCTGGACTTACACTGGATGATATTCTTTGCCTTCCCCCATTTTCCAATATATTTCTCTAATAAGCCCCACTCTCAGTACCACAACAGCAAGTCAAGTGTCTGACTCAACAATGAATATCTAACACATATACTTGGTGGAAATAGGTGCAGAAGCATGTGGGAGGGTGTGCATCTGGCCTCGGAGCCATCTTTTTGCTGCTATGGGTATTACTGATAGGTAAAGTTCCCGTTTTTGAAGCAGGCAAAAGTCAGACTCCACCACCCTTGTGTTGCACTGGCTCCTTCAGTAACTATGGACTGACAAAAGAACACACAAATCTGAGCTGGAGAAGTGCAGCCAAAGAGCTCTTTACAGGCAATGATGGCAAAATTACATCTCATACTCTGGATATGTTGTCAGGAGGAGCCTTAGAAAAAAGACACCACGAAGGGAAAAGTGAAAGGTCAACAAAAGAGAGGGAGATCCAGGTAAGTAGGTTGGCACAGCGGTGACCCGGGCTTGAACATGGCAGAGACCGTGAGGACAGTGCAAGACAGGGCAAGGTTTCAACCCATTGTTCATAATTCACTGTGAATCATAATTCACTCAACAACACCTAAAACAATCACAAGCCAAAAGTTTTCAACAGAGCACTAAGTTTCTCAGATACGTCCCTACAAATGTATTTGGAGAAGGATCTCTTGAGCTGAACCATTTCCCTTCTTTCTGATTTGTATCATGAGCTTCCATCCTCTCTCCGTAATACCCAGTAAGACTTTCTACAATAACCAAAGTGTCTCAAAATCTGTATTTTGCCACAGAAGTGCCTCCCATCACACATGGTTATGAAGTACTTAGAATACAGATAGACTAAACCAAAAAGCAAACTCACTGCCATTTCAACATCTAGTGACCTTTCATTGGAGGGGAGGAGAAACAGCACAGGAGAGGAAGTCCTCGAATGAGTTAGAGTGATATGGTGACCAGGGCAATGGGGCTAGGTGTGTGGAGTCAGTGAGACTGGCTCAGGGTAGGGCTGGCTTCAGAGCTGTTTTACTTAGGGTCAGTATGAACCACTGAATCCCTGGTGACTTGATGGTACTTAACAGCAACAACAAATCTTAATGGAAAGAGACTGCTCATCCTTTCTCCCTTGAAGTAGCTGGTGGAGTCAAACCGCCAGATCTGCTGCCTTTTCGTTATATTTAGAAATAAAAAGAAAAAAATGGAAATCCAATCAATGACATTCACCATTTCCCTCATTAAAATGGGATTTGGTGCTCAGATTTTTGTTGGATTTTCTGCTTTATTCTCTTTCATCCCCTCGCAAAGGGAAGAACTGTAAGGGCTTTTACATGTCTAAAAAAAAGAAAAAACTCAAGTGATGTTCCATTTATTCTTGACATTAAAAAGTGTTTATAAGAAAACTCTTCTCAGTGACACGGTAACTCCACGTGGTCTTACCTCCTGGTACAGGTCGCTGAGATCGTGTTGGTGGGCCTGTTTGGAACATCCTGGGAATTCTCTAACACAGCAGGAATCTGGAGGCCAGTCCATCTCTGTCATTTCCAACCAGTCGGTGAAATACACCACTCCACAGCACTTAAACTGCAAAAGAACAATTGGCTGGGCTCATTCTAGAGCAAAAAAGATTTTCTTAACATAGGAGGTTCAAGTTAGAGTTCTTAAATTTTTGCATCACAGCGAAACCCACTTCTAGCATCACCTGCTGTCATGTGTGTCCTATATTGCTGATTGAAATGCAGTGAAATAATACCCTGCTAACCACTCTCCATTGAGATCAGCCTAATGAATAATGCCTGCAAGTTATAAAAACAAAGGAAACAAACAGAATTCTTTTGTCTTTACAAGTAAATTATAGCAACAGAATTAATTCACACTTTGCAATTACTTACTATGCATCAGAGAGGTGGACAATAACTAGGGATGATAGAAGGAGAATTGAGCCTTTGAGCTGTGATACTGGAGAAGAGTGTTGAATATACCATGGACTGCTAGGAGAACAAACAGGTTCATCCTAGAGAGGGTAAGACCAGGTTGCTCCTTGGAGGCAAGGATTCTGAAGCTTCATCTGACATACTTTGCGCATGCTGCAAGGAGGGACCAGTCCTTGAAGAGGGATGTCATGCTTGGGAGGGTGGAGGGACAGTGCAAGAGAGGAAGAAGACCTTCAGTGAGATGGACTGGTTCAGTGACTGGGGCAATAGGAGTAGGTTTGTTGGAGACAATAAGATTGGCACAGGATAGAGAAGGTTTTAGGGCTGTTGTACATATGGTCACTATGATTCTCAGGTGACTCGACACATAACAACAAACAACAACAAACACAAAGGAGCACTGGTGGCCTAGTGGTAAGGAGATGCACTGCCAACTCAAAAGGCAGATGGTTCGAATCCACCAGGCACTCCTCAGAGAAAAATGAGCAATCTCCACCTGTGGGATTTACTGTTCCTGATAGCTCACTAGAGGGCCAATCATGGTTCAGTTCCCACCCAAAGGTACATAACAATAACAACAAAAGGAAAAAGCTGAAACACTATCTTCTTCAGTAAACTTCTGACCACTAATAATATTAACCAAGCTACTTATGTTTCATCCAACACACTGCTGTTGAGTTGATTCCAACTCCTAGGAACTTTATAGGACAGAGTAGAACTGCCCCAAAGAACTTCCAAGGATATGCTGACAAAGATTGCCATATCTTTGCCTTGCAGAGCAGCTGGTGGATTTGAACTGTTGACAGTTTCCATTTGGGTACCTGAGAAACCACCACTATTCACCAGAGTTACATATGTTGTTCTTGTGCAGTCAAATTGGAACTGACTCGTAGTTAACTCGCCCAGCAGGTTTTTAGAGGCAGTAAATCACATGGGAGGAGACTGCCCATCCTTCTCCTGCAGAGCAGCTGGTGGATTAGAACACGTGCCTCTGGGATTGTGGTGTAGCTCTGTACCACGAGGTCGCCAGAGCTCCCTTGAGCTACATATGTTGTTGTTGCTTTGTTGAGTACCACTGAGTAAAAACTGTCACTCCAGAGGGTTCTCAGAGGCAGTAAATTGCATGAAAGGAGGCTGAGCAGCTGGTGGGTTCAAACTGCATGTCTTTGGGATTGCAGTGCAACTTCTTACTGTTAGTCCACCACAGTTCCCAACAGTACCTCCGTTGTTGTTCTGTATTATAGAGTTGGAACCGACCCATAGCTGACCCTCTGGTCGGTTTACAGAGGCAGTTAATCACATTGGAGGAGACTGCCATCCTTCTTCTCTCGGGAGCAGCTGGTGGCCTCAAGTAACGTGCCTTCAGGATTGCAGTGCAGCTTCTTGTCACAGGACTATGTTGTTGCTGTTACATGTCGTCGAGTCGCCTGCGACTCAGAGCGACCCTATGTATATAATACCTATAGTGAGCTATATATGTTGTTATGTGCCATCGAGTTGCTCGCGACTCATAGCGACCCTGTGTACAACAGCCCTAAAAACTGCTCTATCCTGTGCCAACTGCACTGTCTCTGACATTCCCATCCCGATTACCCCAGTCACTGAATCAACCCACCTCATAGAGGGCCTTCCCCTCCTGCACTGTCCCTCCACCCTCCCAAGCATGATGTCCCTCTCCAGGACCTGTCCCTCCTTACAACATGTCCAAAGTATGTTACATGGAGCCTCAGAATCCTTGCCTCGAAGGAGTAGCCTGGTTTAACCCTCTCCAGCATGAATCTGTTTGTTTTCTTGGCAGTCCATGGTATTCTCAATACTCTTCTCCAGCACCACAGCTCAAAGGCATCAATTCTCCTTCTATCCTCCCTAGTCATTGTCCA